CCCTCTATACTGTGGGCTGTGACAGATTGTAACCCTCTATACTGTGGGCTGTGACAGATTGTAACCCTCTATACTGTAGACTGTGACAGATTGTAACCCTCTATACTGTGGGCTGTGACAGATTGTAATCCTCTATACTGTGGAGTGTGACATATTGTAACCCTCTATATTGTGGATTGTGACAGATTGTAATCCTCTATACTGTGGGCTGTGACAGACAGATTGTAACCCTCTATACTGTAGACAGTGACAGATTGTAACCCTTTATACTGTAGACTGTGACAGATTGTAATCCCCATTACTGTAGACTGTGACAGAATGTAACCCTCTATACTATGGGCTGTGATAGACAGATTATAACCCTCTATAATGTGGGCTGTGGCAGACAGATTGTAACCCTCTATATTGTGGGCTGTAACAGATTGTAACCCTCTATACTGTGGGCTGTGACAGATTGTAACCATCTATACTGTGGGCTGTGACAGATTGTAACCATCTATACTGTAGACTGTGACAGATTGTAACCCTCTATACTGTGGGCTGTGACAGATTGTAATCCTTTATACTGTAGACTGTGACAGATTGTAACCCTCTATACTGTGGGCTGTGACAGACAGATTGTAACCCTCTATATTGTAGACTGTGACAGATTGTAACCCTCTATACTGTGGACTGTGACAGATTGTAACCCTCTATACTGTAGACTGTGACAGATTGTAAACCCTCTATACTGTAGACTGTGACAGATTGTAAACCTCTATACTGTAGGCTGTGACAGATTGTAATCCTTTATACTGTAGACTGTGACAGATTGTAACCCTCTATACTGTGGGCTGTGACAGACAGATTGTAACCCTCTATACTGTAGACTGTGACAGATTGGAATCCTCTATACTGTGTACTGTGACAGATTGTAACCCTCTATACTGTAGACTGTGACAGATTGTAAACCCTCTATACTGTAGACTGTGACAGATTGTAACCCTCTATACTGTGGGCTGTGACAGATTGTAACCCTCTATACTGTTGGCTGTGACAGACAGATTGTAACCCTCTATACTGTGGGCTATGACAGATTGTAACCCTCTATACTGTTGGCTGTGACAGACAGATTGTAACCCTCTATACTGTGGGCTATGACAGATTGTAACCCTCTATACTGTTGGCTGTGACAGACAGATTGTAACCCTCTATACTGTGGGCTGTGACAGATTGTAACTCTCTGTATTGTGGGCTGTGACAGATTGTAACCATCTATACTGTAGACTGTGACAGATTGTAACCCTCTATACTGTAGACTGTGACAGATTGTAACCCTCTATATTGTGGGCTGTGACAGATTGTAACCATCTATACTGTGGGCTGTGACAGATTGTAATCCTTTATACTGTAGACTGTGACAGATTGTAACCCTCTATACTGTGGGCTGTGACAGACAGATTGTAACCCTCTATATTGTAGACTGTGAGAGATTGTAACCCTCTATACTGTGGACTTTGACAGATTGTAACCCTCTATACTGTAGACTGTGACAGATTGTAAACCCTCTATACTGTAGACTGTGACAGATTGTAACCCTCTATACTGTGGGCTGTGACAGATTGTAACCCTCTATACTGTTGGCTGTGACAGACAGATTGTAACCCTCTATACTGTGGGCTATGACAGATTGTAACCCTCTATACTGTTGGCTGTGACAGACAGATTGTAACCCTCTATACTGTGGGCTGTGACAGATTGTAACCCTCTATACTGTTGGCTGTGACAGATTGTAACCCTCTATACTGTAGACTGTGACAGATTGTAACTCTCTATATTGTGGGCTGTGACAGATTGTAACCATCTATACTGTGGGCTGTGACAGATTGTAACCCTTTATACTGTAGACTGTGACAGATTGTAACCTTCTATATTGTGGGCTGTGACAGATTGTAACCCTCTATATTGTGGACTGTGACAGATTGTAAGCCTCTATACTGTAGACTGTGACAGATTGTAACCCTCTATACTGTAGACTGTGACAGATTGTAACCCTTTAAACTGTAGACTGTGACAGATTGTAACCCTCTATACTGTAGACTGTGACAGATTGTAACCCTCTATACTGTGGGCTGTGACAGATTGTAACCCTCTATACTGTGGGCTGTGACAGATTGTAACCCTCTATACTGTAGACTGTGACAGATTGTAACCCTCTATACTGTGGGCTGTAACAGATTGTAACCCTTTATACTGTAGACTGTGACAGATTGTCACCCTCTATACTGTAGACTGTGACAGATTGTAACCCTCTATACTGTGGGCTGTGACAGATTGTAACCCTCTATACTGTAGACTGTGACAGATTGTAACCCTCTATATTGTGGGCTGTGACAGATTGTAACCATCTATACTGTAGACTGTGACAGATTGTAACCATCTATACTGTGGGCTGTGACAGATTGTAACCCTTTATACTGTAGACTGTGACAGATTGTAACCCTCTATACTGTAGACTGTGACAGATTGTAACCTTCTATATTGTGGGCTGTGACAGATTGTAACCCTCTATATTGTGGACCGTGACAGATTGTAAGCCTCTATACTGTAGACTGTGACAGATTGTAACCCTCTATACTGTAGATTGTGACAGATTGTAACCCTTTATACTGTAGACTGTGACAGATTGTAACCCTCTATACTGTAGACTGTGACAGATTGTAACCCTCTATACTGTGGGCTGTGACACACAGATTATAGCTCTCTATACTATGGGCTGTGACAGATTGTAACCCTCTATACTGTTGGCTGTAACAGATTGTAACCCTCTATACTGTGGGCTGTAACAGATTTTAACCCTCTATACTGTAGACTGTGACAGATTGTAACCCTCTTTACTGTAGACTGTGACAGATTGTAACCCTCTATACTGTAGACTGTGACAGATTGTAACCCTCTATACTGTGGGCTGTGACAGATTGTAACCCTCTATACTGTAGACTGTGACAGATTGTAACCCTCTATACTGTAGATTGTGACAGATTGTAACCCTTTATACTGTAGACTGTGACAGATTGTAACCCTCTATACTGTAGACTGTGACAGATTGTAACCCTCTATACTGTGGACTGTGACAGATTGTAAGTGTTTATACTGTAGACTGTGACAGATTGTAACCCTCTATACTGTGGGCTGTGACAGATTGTAACCCTCTATACTGTGGGCTGTGACAGATTGTAACCCTCTATACTGTTGGCTGTGACAGATCGTAACCCTCTATACTGTGGGCTGTGACAGATTGTAACCCTCTATACTGTTGGCTGTGACAGATCGTAACCCTCTATACTGTAGACTGTGACAGATTGTAACCCTCTATACTGTAGACTGTGACAGATTGTAACCCTCTATACTGTGGGCTGTGACACACAGATTATAGCTCTCTATACTATGGGCTGTGACAGATTGTAACCCTCTATACTGTGGGCTGTGACAGATTGTAAGCCTCTATACTGTAGACTGTGACAGATTGTAACCCTCTATACTGTGGGCTGTGACAGATTGTAACCCTCTATACTGTGGGCTGTGACAGATTGTAACCCTCTATACTGTGGGCTGTGACACACAGATTATAGCTCTCTATACTATGGGCTGTGACAGTTTGTAACCCTCTATACTGTGGGCTGTGACAGATTGTAAGCCTCTATACTGTAGACTGTGACAGATTGTAACCCTCTATACTGTGGGCTGTGACAGACAGATTGTAACCCTCTATATTGTAGACTGTGACAGATTGTAACCCTCTATACTGTGGACTGTGACAGATTGTAACCCTCTATACTGTAGACTGTGACAGATTGTAAACCCTCTATACTGTAGACTGTGACAGATTGTAAACCTCTATACTGTAGGCTGTGACAGATTGTAATCCTTTATACTGTAGACTGTGACAGATTGTAACCCTCTATACTGTGGGCTGTGACAGACAGATTGTAACCCTCTATACTGTAGACTGTGACAGATTGGAATCCTCTATACTGTGTACTGTGACAGATTGTAACCCTCTATACTGTGGGCTGTGACAGATTGTAACCCTCTATACTGTAGACTGTGACAGATTGTAACCCTCTATACTGTGGGCTGTGACAGATTGTAACCCTCTATACTGTGACAGATTGTAACCCTCTATACTGTAGACTGTGACAGATTGTAACCCTCTATACTGTGGGCTGTGGCAGATTGTAACCCTCTATACTGTAGACTGTGACAGATTGTAACCCTCTATACTGTGGGCTGTGACAGATTGTAACCCTCTATACAGTACACTGTGACAGATTGTAACCCTCTATACTGTGGGCTGTCCCCAACAAGATTAGGGACTGATTGTAACTGCTGTTCCCAAAAAGGTAAGGAAAAATAATTAAAAACCTTCTACTCTGTTGGCTTCACCTTGCAAGGTGGGGGACAGAACACAGACCTTCTATGCTCTGACGTGTAGGCCTGATGGTGGGGGACGTTACATTCCCTGATGTACAGCTTTGAGAACGAAAATGTTGAGAAGCAAACCAATATTTCATTTGGAGATCTGGCTTAAGGATTTAGAAATGACCCCTGGGACTGGATTGTTGTGGGGAAAACAATTTGCATTTTTCATCATCTGGACCAATTAACAGTTCTAAGGATTGTAAATGGATGGAAAGACAGAAGATGCCATGTACAGATGCTAAACCCGCCAGCCTACACCAAGATTTTTGTGTAGAAGGGATCTGCTGCCTCTGATTACGGGTTGTATTGCCCTTGTTTAATTCCCTAATCCTCCGTTAAATCTCCTCGAAGACTCAATTTGTTTTTTATTGATCAGCGTAGACTTGGGAAATTTGGCTGAGTAAACAGGTTATCGAACATGATGATAGAACTGATAGTCAAGTTTGACTTTGTGTTACATGTGTGTCATAACAATTAGATTTACAGAGTAAAAATTTTGATTATTAGTAAATAACAGATACATAGATATGATGACTTACTCAGTGTCTCGTACATCAGGCAGACTTCGGTGAAGTGATATCATGTCACTAACATACATATTAAAAGCATTATTTTGCCAGCCATCATCATATTTTTTGCGTTCTTCTGGAGACAGTTTTTCCTTGTCTATCACAACTGCTTTTCCATTCTCCCCTGTAAAACAAAATGAAACTCTCTATGTAAAGACAACATTGAATCCTTAGTTGCATGAATGAGGCACATAACCTTGACCTATAGAAACAAACTTACAACAAAAATGTTAATAAAAAACTTGACCTTCAACACAAATGTTGTGACAAAAAGGAAAGTGATGTATGTTTCTTAAGGGTCATATGTGAACAGTGTATTTAAATGTAAGTGTACTGGGCTGTTCATTTATCAGAAACAAAATAAGGTGAAACACTAAAATAGCTTGTAGAAACCACAACAATGTTAGTCTCGAAACAAAGTCAATTGTAAGGAAATTGGAATAGACAATCCACCTAAATATAGATGTGTAATCTTTTTGTAAGTCAGGATGACCAGACGAGATCACACCAGCAGTTGTCATCGACAAAGTAACAGCCAATAGGGAAGTTTGACAGCATTGGTCAGTGTGTGGCTAATTAGTTCAGATTAATAACACTGTTTGGATTGATCTAATTGTGTGTTGGTTTCCCTATAATCAGGTTTACTGATACGGCTAGGTGATAAGATCAAAAGATGTCAGACAAAGATGATAGCTGTCTAAAGATTCTCCTTTCTATCACAAATAAAACCATCTCGACATATTTAAGGGAGATAACTCTATCTCTTTATGCTGATACATGTTTTAGTTAATCGGAAATATCAAAAACCATCACAGAACAAGACAATTTTAAGCTATGATTGCTACTGCTCCAGTGCCTATTAGTTAACCATGTGTTCATATCATTTTTTGATGAATTTACAGAAGCAGTCCAATGTAACCTTAAACCTTCACCAACAACCACCTTAATATGATTGGGTGTAGAACTTCATGTTATCATACTGTATAGGGCAAATATGAATGAATCTGTTGAGGTTAATGTATGACATTGATTATACATGGGACATGATACAACATTACACAACAGCATGGATGGATAATACTTCATGACACACATCCCTCTAATAAAAGGACTGGCACTGTAAACAAGGGAGGCAATCACAGGGATGCTTAAACACTGCACATTATACAGTGAATCTGTGACCTCATGGGAGGTAACTCCATATGTCTTCATGAACAAAACATTAATGTTGAAACTTTCTGGAATAATATGATATAATCTGTTCAATAATTGTGTATACCTTTACAGTTTATTGTCAAGCTTTGTAATGTTTACCGATCGTCATTCTCAGAAGAGTCTTATTCCAGATTACATCAAACTTTTGAGAAAATTTAGAAAATAAATAATAATGACATGTTCTTTATTGGTCATGTTAATTATTGTGATAACCTCAGCTCTGTGACACAGTGATACATTTCCTGATAAATCTTAATATCCTACACACCACTGTATTGGAGAAAACCATGTCCTGGCCATCAATCGGATTGTAAAGGAAACAAAGATGGCTACCATACAGTATCCAACAGAACCTCAACAAGGAAGGTAAATACAAAGGAGAGAGAAAATGGAGCATCAACGTCGGGAATCCATGGTTTTATTATTGGTTTATATGTTTTGATTAGCTAGGCTAGCCCTCATCAGAACAATGTATAAATATTCACATAACTCAGGTTAAAATAACAGCTCTGCTGTCACATTATTACCTTTCAGCAGTTGGTCTGGTATGGAAAATATGTCTAGTATGGAAGAATTGTGTTTGGCCATAAAGTATGGCACTGTACATATTGGCAAAAACAAAACAAGAAAAAAAAAAAAACTTCTCATAATTTCCTGAGACAACCTAAATATCTGCACAGACTTAGGTCAACTATGTTCATATAATACTGCTATTAGTACAATCAAAATACAATTCTACCTCAAACTAATTGCAACAGAATGACTTTTATAATTTTCATAAAGTATTACGATATATTAACAAAATACTAAAAATCTACAGAAATCTAAATTATGGAAAGTATTAAAATGAGCGATTGAAAGCTGTAATTTTGTGTGCAGGTTGTACAGCACGTACAGACCACCGTACAACACAAGGGAGACAACTCCTTTTGTTGACACCGATGAGCAAGTCTGAATACCAGGTGTTTGTTCCTGCGACATATGGGTAAGTGAATTCACGATCATTTTTTGTTGTATGTTAGAATGGTTGTATTAAGCATATCAAAATTCTAATAACTGGAAAATAAAACCGATTTATCGGTGTAAACATCCCGTAGTTACGACGATCGGAGAAAGCACAAGACAGACTGTCCGATTTAATACCAAAAGTAGATTTCTTATAAATATCCATATTTGATTATAAATGATCAATAAACTGTCAGTATTTGACTCATTTATTGAATTTAAATTAAGGTTGATACATCAGATTAATATGCTTCTTCGAAATAATGAATTGCATATGAGAGCAGATGCCGCAAATTTTTTAAAGTATGGAAGCACCGTAGCATCAGACTGCCGTATATATTATTGTAAACCTGGCATTCGTAGGTGGTTTTCTTTCAATGTTGCTTTTTTTTGTTTTTTTTTTTTTTGTTTTTTTGTTTCTTAACAGATTTTAACAAGAGATTCATCACTTTTTAACACGGATCCCTGCATATTTTGTCCAAATTGAAATATTTTTATGCATTCTTGAAACAAACCATATATAAAACAATAAACATTGTATATATTACAGATACCTGTCTGCTAAGAACCTGTCACTTGAAACATTAAATCCTCTTCCGAATCGCTTGATTACCAAAGTAAGTATATTTTTTGTCTAATTATCATGTTTTTAAAGTAAAACATTCAAAAATTTTAGAACTGTGTTCACTTTTCATACATAATTTCAACATTTTTAACTGGTTTTTAATCTGTTTCTCGACATTTCAAGCACATTACTGGTATATTTACATGTACATATAAAGCATATATAGTCTATTGGTTAAGTTTGATGTTACAATTTGTCTTTATTGTGTAACTGGATTATACAATAGATAGAGAATATTACACTCGTATGAGTCTATTTATCATTTGACTACTAAAAAGTCCAAAAATACATCGTTAAGATAGACGTTCTTCCCGTCATTTCTTGACAGCAGTCCATTGCTGACGTGACGTCATCTGATCGACTGTGACGTCACAATTGGAAAGTGTTATTACACATGTGTAATAAAGAAAATTTATGTCATGGCTCTATTACACTGCAAAACACAGCAGTCATATGATAAAATAATTTCAACTACCATTCATAAATTAATATGGAATTCATTAAAAATATAGTAAGATTATTTTTTTTTGCACACAAACAATGCATACTGTAATATAGATAGAAGCCTATAGTTTTTCAGTTATTGTACGTGTGTAATATATTCAAAAGTGTAACGTTTTGAAATATTTTTGCAAAGACATTGAAATTTTAATAATTTAAAGATTTTTCAATTTTCTGTTTTTAGTTTTATATGTACACTGTATAAAGTTTATAAAGTTATTTATATTATTTTCAGTTCCATTTTAAGATATGTGATGAATTGCCAATCAAGGCAGCGAGAATTATAGCCTACAGTCTGTATGTGAGTAGTAGCATTCCGTTTCTTTTACTCAGCTGTATGTTTAACAAATGACCAGTTTATAAAAAATATTGTTGAATTAATGAGTGTGGTAGCCCTGCCGAACCAGAATAACCGGGCGCGAACAAATAATTTGACATCCATTTCATAGCTAGGCCTTGAAAATTATAGAATCATTATTTAATTTATTTACTATATCATGCTTCTTATACTTAACATTACTACAATCTTTTAAATTTTCCATAAATATCTTTCCCTTTCTCTCATTTTTATCATTGTTTTATTTTCATTTACATTTTATTTTGTTTTCTTTCAGTTTCACCATGATGTGCTTCCACAAAGATCATTTCAAAATCCTTATTTTTTAGGGATTTTATGTTTTGTTTTGTTCAGTTTTTATCTATTATTATGCCCATTGATTTTATCATCATTACAAGTTATCAAAAACCATAAGCAGTTATATAATTTATTTCAGGTGGACAATGGAAGCAAGCATCCTTTGTCATCAGGATATCGTCCACGTCACCGAGGCTGTAAAGATAAAGGGAAGTGATGGTATAAATGAGGCCAGTATACTAAGGGGTGATAATATTAAGGCTAAACCGGGTGACTTTGTTCAAATTGATTGTAGAAAAAAATATACAAACCCTCTGGTGATTAAAGGAATCCTTACAAACTGCTCAAAGCCAGATTACAAGGATAAAGACAAAGCACAATCTCTACGTTCCCACGGGGTGTTCAGCTTCTCGGATAACTGTCTATTTTGTACAAAACCAGCTAAAGTCAACAGTAAGAGATGTTGATGTGTATCCTGTACGCATATCAGATTTTCAGAATGAGGTTTTACTGAAGTGTCAACAAAGAGATGATGAATGGGCAGCTGAAGTTCGTGGGCGCCTGGAATCCATCAATGATCTGGTAGCAGCAGATGCAGTTTACCATAACCTGTGCAGCGTCAGTTTTCGCACGAATAGATCACTTCCTCAGGCATTCACCCCAGGTAAGAAGCAGAAGTCTACAGCCGGACGACCCAAGAAGGAAAAGGGCAATGCTGGACGACCAAATATGACTTCTAACCATTTCCTGCAAGTGGTTGACTATCTGATGGAAAACGAAGATGAACAACTCACAATTTCTGATCTTGTGGCTAAAATAACTGAGATCTGTGGAGAAAATGCATACAGTCCGAAATATATGAAAAAGGTGCTTTTGAACCACTTTAAAGAGGACATAATTGTTGCAGATACGACTGGAAAATCTGATGTCATCACTCTCAGAAGAACAGCAAAATCTATTTTCAGGGAGTTCTACACAACCCTAAGAAGCAACCCGGATCTTGAGAAAAAGGCAGTGATTGAAGCAGCAGCCAAATTGATCAAGCATGAAGTCAAATCAATTAAAAAGTCAAAGGAGTACTACCCAACTACATCTGATATATCATCGCAGGAGAAGAACTTAGGTTATGTCACAGAGAGCCTACAAACATTTCTCAAGATCCTCTTCAGCGAGAAGGATTCTGACTTGAAGGTGTCTTCTATTGGACAGGCAGTTATGCAGGCTGTGCGCCCACGTGGACTCCTCCCACCTCTACAGATTGGCCTTGGTGTTCAGCTTAATTATCACTTTGGGTCTAGATTATTGATTGATGCGTGCCATGCCCTAGGTTTTGTGCATCCTATAATGAGGTCAACCGATTTGCTTCCAGTTCTGCTGTGTCCCAATGTGACTTCATACAGGAACTTGTCCAGAACACCAGCTTGCAGTTTGTTGCAGATAATTTTGACCACAATTCAATTGATGGACATGACACTTTCCACGGAATGGGAATCATTGCCAGCGTTACATCAATTACGGCAAGGATGGAATACCGGATGATGTACTTTCAGTGCTAGATGGTGGCTCTCTTTTGCAGTGGATTCCTTGGAAAATTGGTGAATCATTCAAATCAATCTGCAATATGTACATCACATATGTAACTAGAAGATATTTGAGGCTAGTTGTTGCCTTTGATGGCTACGAGAATGGACCATCCACGAAAGATGTCGCCCATTTGAGACGTGGAAAGGGTGTATCATCAACAAAAATAGAATAACACCTTGTAAGACGAAGAAGGAACTGTTTTTGGCAAACCAGGACAACAAACAAGCGTTCATCTATTTTCTTGGCAGCAAACTACAAGAATATGGGTGCATTGTCATACACTCTGATGGTGATGCTGATCTTCTGATTGTCAAGACTGCTCTTAATTGTGCTCGGTTGCAAAATGTAGAGATCATCGGGGAAGACGCAGACTAACTTGTACTTCTTTGTTATTACTTTGACTGTCATGCAACAAATACTATCTCCTTTAGGTCAGACTGCAGGAAAGCAGGAAGAAAGGTGAAAAAGATCTGGGACATACGAGCTGCAGTCGGCATTCTAGGCGAATCAATATGTTCTGCACTTCCTGGTCTCCACTCATTGACTGGATGTGACACCACTTCAGGCTTATTTGGAATTGGAAAAGGACAGGCCCTCAAGAAGCTTATGTCAAGCAAGACGATGACGGAACAAGTGGCTCAACTTATGTCCAGAACATTAACTTTAAAAGAAGTTATAGAGATTGGAGAGTCCATTTTAGTTGGCTCTTTATGGAGGGCCATCTGGTGAAAGCCTGGATATCTTGCGCCATAGAAAGTTTACTACCAAAGTTAGTGCAAGGATGACCAGCAACAGTGTCCAAGTCCAGTCTCTGCCACCTACGTCAGATGCTGCAAGATTTCACATCATGAGGGCTTATTACCAATGTCAGTCATGGCTTGAAAATGAAATGGATCCAAAGGATTGGGGCTGGTGTGTCACACTAGGCAGGCTTACACCTATCAAATCCAATCTGCCGTCTGCACGCAGCTGTAAAACAAACTGCGAAAGCAAACGCTGCTCCTGTAGAAAACATGGCCTTGACTGTTCAACTGCTTGTACAGAATGCAAGGGGATTAACTGTGCAAATTCAACCATAGAGATAGATACCGACTTCACAGATGATATTATATGACATGATTTCTTTTATAACATTAAAATGCATATGTACTTGTGTGGGCCGGATGAAAGTGCATATGCACTTGTGTGGGCCGGATGAAAGTGCATATGCACTTGTGTGAGCCGGATGAAAGTGCATAT